CTATGGGGGTGTGTCAGAATATTATGCTCTAGCCTGTAGTGGGGTGCTCTATAGCGAGTACAACCCTTCTAGGGTTTGCTATTTGTATCCCCATTCTTGCTAGTGCAAACTCTCCTTTGCTCATTTCTCTCTTGCCTAGCTAGGGTTTACCTAGCTATGGCTCATGATTCTAGCTCCTATTTTGACAGTAGGAATTAGGGGCAAATGTATAGCGAGGGGGTATCTTCTAAACGGTTCTTTGTCCATTTATAAGACTTATAAGACACCCTAAACCATCCCGTTTACAAGATAACTCAAGCATTTTTGCCCGTGTACGAGATAATACATATATGTCTTACAGTATATCCGGGCGATGACGGTATTGAGCTTTACATCTCATTCCTGCGCAGCAATACCATCCAAAGGGACAGCTTAGACGTCGCCTTTTAAGGTTTGAGAAACACCCGACGCCCCTGCACAAAGCTGCTCCAGTCAAGTGCCACATTAACCATGTCAGTGAGACGTATGCGACTTGGTGGCCTGTTCCCCTCTTTATACAATCGTCCATTGCTCGAGTTTGTAAGCAAGACCCTTTTGATTTGATGGTCCATTAAGGATGACATGAGAGGGAAGAACCAAAAATCCCGAGAAATCAGCACCACACATGACCTGTTGGCAAGACAAAAAGCGAAGAAAAAACTCATTCATGGATTAACGAAAGTGTTTAGTGCTGTGTAATCTGCTCAGACGAAATAATACGACTGAGACAAACATGGACCAGCTTGGCTGCGAAAAGAAACTCACAAAGATGGGTCAAGGTTTTCGATCTCGGCAAGGTAGTAGTCTCCGTAGATCCCCTCTCGCCCGTCAAGCAGGAACGTCATCACATCCACATAAATAGCCTTATCTGCCATGTCCTTCCCCGGCAAGGCTTTTAGTATTTCAACACCGCAATCAGTAAGCTCCCTCTCGCACGACGCCATCACTTCAGACTTGCCGTACGCCCTGAAGACCACCAGAAGGCCATACGCTGATGCGAGTTGACGAAGCTGATCAACGATCCACGCAGTGTTGGTTCCGTGCGGGATTTGGCAGTTCTCATAGTCCCAGAACACGGCGACCGGGGCCCTCTTTGGCGCAACGGGCATTACGTCGTGCACGATCCGTGGATGTGGCGGTGCGTACTCCACGTGTGCGTTAGCCATAGGTTGGACGCCATTGTGTCCGTGTTCTTCCAAAGCACGAACGCGCCTGCTCTTAGGTGGTGTGTGGAGCCACTTGAAAAACAAAAACGAAAGGACGAAAACTATTACTAACACTACGAGCGTTTCGTTCTACGAGAGGCAGGCTTGCTCTGACATCTTAACGGCGACCTAGAGCTCCAGAAAACGCTTGTTGTGACATAACGGGGCTGCCTCATAGCGTCACAAGCTAGGTTAAATGATCGTTCCGTCGACTCGTGACGACCCCGCGAGCAAGCTGAGTTAAAGCAACAGCTGCCGCCAAGTCTCACTAACATGAGATCAACTTGATAGTGGTAGGCGGGAGTGATTTTACGGTGAGGGCTGCTGAGTAGCTCATGCGATGCAGATGAGCGGCAAGAAATCGACGAATTTAGAAAGCTTGCTTTCTTGTGTTTGCAATGGCAACGTGCTTCGTTTCAAATGTCTTGCAATGGCAACGTGCTTCGTTTCAAATGGGCATTACAACATTCTCGTCCGGCTAAGTATACATACGGTACCTACATTACAACATGCAGTTTTTGCTAGGGTGGGTGGGTGGGAAATAATGCAGTTGAAATTTCAAATGAAGACGTGGGTGGAGGCCAAATGGCCTCCACCCCCTGCTATATAGTTGGCGAAGAGCGTCTAGCACTTCGCGGTTGCCATTGCTGCATTACAAGCAGCTTCGCTTTCAAAATACACATTTTTAGAAAGTGTTACACACTTTCAAAAAACTTCATATTTAGAAAGCTTGCTTTCTTGTGTTTGCAATGGCAACGTGCTTCGTTTCAAATGGGTCTTCTGAGACATGCGACGGGAGTTGTTGATCGTTTGCGAGATGACATGTGGGTGGTGGTCCGCTCGCACACGGAGCGGATGCTTGTACCGATGTTGCTGGTGATGATGTTAATCTCTGTCGTTGCATTGGATGGGGTGTCGCGCCAAGTGTAGCACAGGCGTGTTGATCAATGGGAGATGGCTGATACGTAGGCTTCTTACACGAACCCGCAACAATATGGAAGGACTCAGGCAGCGGACGTTGGTACGGTATGTTGTGTTGATGATGGGTGTGAGCTTGTACCGTACAAGTTGTACGGAATGAGCCCGACCCTTGTGGTCACAATCGTGCTCGTATCACAAAGAGTACATGAAACTTTCTGGTATCCAGATGAATCTGCCGGCGTTTAAGCCCTGCGTGGTTATTTATTTATTATTATTCTTCTTTTATTTTTCCCAATGAGTATAGGTATGATCTGCTAGAGTTGTGCACCATTTCAGACTCACCACGTTTGTGCAATCAACCAACTCAAGTGTGACCGCATCCCAACCTTGCACTGTAAGGGCTCATCATAAGGTAATTGCAAAGTATTACAAAGACTGCACAACCATTAATCTACCTTACAAATGACCCACAGACCAAAAAGGACCCACCAGCCCTCTTCCCCCTTGGGGAGCTCGCTGGCCAGCACCGCACAGGACCCACCGGTCCTCCTCCCCCCTGGGGAGCTCGCTGGCCAGCACCGCACAGGACCCACCGGTCCTCCTCCCCCCTGGGGAGCTCGCTGGCCAGCACCGCACAGGACCCACCGGTCCTCCTCCCCCCTGGGGAGCTCGCTGGCCAGCACCGCACAGGACCCACCGGTCCTCCTCCCCCCTGGGGAGCTCGCTGGCCAGCACCGCACAGGACCCACCGGTCCTCCTCCCCCCTGGGGAGCTCGCTGGCCAGCACCGCACAGGACCCACCGGTCCTCCTCCCCCCTGGGGAGCTCGCTGGCCAGCACCGCACAGGACCCACCGGTCCTCCTCCCCCCTGGGGAGCTCGCTGGCCAGCACCGCACAGGACCCACCGGTCCTCCTCCCCCCTGGGGAGCTCGCTGGCCAGCACCGCACAGGACCCACCGGTCCTCCTCCCCCCTGGGGAGCTCGCTGGCCAGCACCGCACAGGACCCACCGGTCCTCCTCCCCCCTGGGGAGCTCGCTGGCCAGCACCGCACAGGACCCACCGGTCCTCCTCCCCCCTGGGGAGCTCGCTGGCCAGCACCGCACAGGACCCACCGGTCCTCCTCCCCCCTGGGGAGCTCGCTGGCCAGCACCGCACAGGACCCACCGGTCCTCCTCCCCCCTGGGGAGCTCGCTGGCCAGCACCGCACAGGACCCACCGGTCCTCCTCCCCCCTGGGGAGCTCGCTGGCCAGCACCGCACAGGACCCACCGGTCCTCCTCCCCCCTGGGGAGCTCGCTGGCCAGCACCGCACAGGACCCACCGGTCCTCCTCCCCCCTGGGGAGCTCGCTGGCCTGCACCGCACAGGACCCACGAGTCCTTTTCTGGCTCGCGCGGGACCCCCAGGGGGTGTCCCAATCTCCCACGGGAGCGCACAGAGTTGTACCAGATGTTTGCCGTAGTTTCTCTTGGCAGATGGTCTCTGAAGGCGACGCAATGCTGTGGTAGTTGCCTCGCACCAATTTACTGCGACCAAAAATTAAGAAATAACACGACTGAAAACGAAGACAAGCCAAAAACCGAACATACGTATAAAGGAAAAAAAAATGAAGGGAACATTTGCGAAGTAACAGGTGTTCCATAGACGAATTTCAGCAACAAAAGCGCATCTGCCATGCCAGTTCGTTTCTGGCGCGCCACTGGCGATTTCGTAGCCACATGCGCCAGAGGCAATCTTGACCATTTCGGCGCCATGAGCGCCCCTGGCGCCAATTGCGCCGTTGGCGATTTCACCACGCGCGCCTGTGGCCATCTCGTCGCCACGCGCGCCTGTGGCGATCTCGTCGCCACGCGCGCCTGTGGCGATCTCGTCGCCACGCGCGCCTGTGGCGATTTCGTCGCCACGCGCGCCCGTGGCGATTTCGTCGCCACACGCGCCTTCGTCACCACGCGCGCCAGTGGCGCTGTCGCCCTATTAGCCCCAACATGCGCACCTATTGTAGGGACGGGTCATTTTTGAAACTCGTATTGCTAAGTCAACCGAGCTTGCCTACTATTTCTTGAGAAAAGTAAGGAACTGCGAGAAGCACCAGGTAGTCGGACGAGAATGAAATAATGCAGTTGAAATTTCAAATGAAGACGTGGGTGGAGGCCAAATGGCCTCCACCCCCTGCTATATAGTTGGCGAAGAGCGTCTAGCACTTCGCGGTTGCCATTGCTGCATTACAAGCAGCTTCGCTTTCAAAATACACATTTTTAGAAAGTGTTACACACTTTCAAAAAACTTCATGAATATGGTACACAGAACTCGTTTGATTTTTCAGGGTTCTGTATCTTCGTTAGTGCAATCCCCGCTCGCTTCATCAGTCCTCGGGATTTGCCATCGTTGCATGTTTGGTTGCGATTGAGCAGCCGAGTAGGGCGTGTTCATCTCTAAGTCATTGGCAAACAAACACAGTCCCAAACCATCCCGTTTCAACTACAGAGCGTGTCACGTCGAAATTCGAACAGGACCTTGTTCTGCCGGGTTGACGGGTGAGTTGCCAAGAATGCCGAGCAACAGTAGCTCCGAGAGTTAGGTACTCCCTCACATAGCTGATACTGTAGTGGTGCCGAAGGTCAGAGCCTGACAAGGATTGTGTTTCTCTTACCTCCTGAATATCTTCCTGCTTGCATACAAAACTGATTTGAAATGGACAAGGGGGGTGGTACGTCGACTGCTAGTAGAACACCATCAAGTGGCATTCGAAGAGGAAGAATAGCCTCGACCCGCCGTTCGCCTCCGCGTCGGCTCACTGATTTTCCTTGTGCTGGGATTTGCCTTGGGATCTGCCATGAAATCTTCCAAGGGATCCGCCATGGGGTCCGCCGTGGATCCCATACAGGCTTTTGCCGACCTTATCGGCACGCCCCGTCCAGCCGCGACTTTCCTGCTAGCTAGCTTATCGTTTGTCCCGATCGCGTGGCTTCACAGATTCATCTCGTCGCCTACACTTCGCCATCTGTACTGCACAGTAACGGGACTGCTTCTATCGGCGTTCGTGTTCGGATGGACGGCGGACGCGCATTTCTTCGTGTGCGTGCTTTACTCAATAGCCGTAATGCGGCTGTTTCGTAGAAAATGCGGCGTCCTAACGTTCTTCGGAACTTTCGCGTACTTGATTGGGTGGTAAGTTTCCCTCTCGTCGGTCTCTACTTCTTGGTGTTTCTTTGGTTCTGGAATCACGAGTCAAGCCACAGAATCAGGACGGTAGCAGCTTTTGGTGCTAACGCAAAGCGTCTTTCGCGTCATTGCCAGCCGCCTCGTTTCCCCTTCCAGCCGTAATTTGACTCGAACATCCCTCCGTCTCCGCATTCCCGCTTCCACTCGAACTTTCTTTGTTCACCACCGTTCACAGATTTTCCGTTTCTCACATACATTTCCTTCGTTCAACTCCTTTCGTTCAACTCCATCCGACCTTCTGCAGCCACATCATCATGCGCACCCACGAGACCCGCATGGAGGGCGTGGTGGACTGCACAGGCGCGCTCACCGTCCTCGCTACAAAGCTCATCGCTGTCGCGTATAACTACCGGGACGGGCTCACGCTGCTCGAGGAGAAAGACGAAGGCGCGCAAGCCAAGGACGAAAAGGAGAGGAAGGACGAGAAGGAGAGGAAGGGCGAGAAGGAAAGGAAGGGATTAACCGAGGAGCAGAGGCGGCGGGAGGATCGGATGGAGCGTTCGCGATTGGAGCGGCGAAAGGCGGCGCTGGTTACCATGCCGTCGGTGGTGCAGCTGATGGGGTACCTGTTCTGCTTCGGACTGCACATCACAGGCCCGTTCTTTGAGTTCAAGGCGTACCACGACTGGACCCGCCGACAAGGGGTACGTTACTTCAGGGTTATCACATTTCCCGTGTATCCCCCTCCTCTCCACTGATCGCCTCTCCACTGATCGCCTCTCCACTGATCGCCTTTCCTCACCGTACACCACTGGACCTTCACGCTCAAGCAGCCGTCCATCCTTCCCTGCGCCTCACCACTCTGCACGTTCTCCCTTTCTCCTTCCTTCCTCACCACCCGCAGATCTGGTCCCCACATCTCAAGCAGCCGCCCGTCCTCCCGCCATTCCTCCGCGCGTTCATCCTTAGCCTCACTCTGCTCTCTGTTCCCATCCATCCCTCCCCTGCAGATCTGGTCCCCACATCTCAAGCAAACCGCCCATCCTCCGACCATTCCTCCGCGCGTTCACCCAGGGCGTGCTCACAGCGCTCGTCTTCCTGCTCGTGTCCCCCTCGCTCGACCTCACTCAAATCAGCAACCGCCACAAGAACCGCGCCCACCCCCTCCACATGCGCTGGCTCCTCATGTACCACGCCAGCATCGTGTGGCGCTTCCGCGCGTACATCCTCTGGAGCATCACCGAGGCTGCCATGGTCGCTGGTGGGCTGGGGTTTAGCGGCTGGGAGATCCCCAAGGGGGAGCCTGGGAAGGGCGGGGACGCTGGGAAGGGCGGGGGCGTGAAGTTGAATGGGGGGGAATCGGAGGGGCCGAAGGTCAATGGGAAGTGCGGTGGTGATGGGGATGCGGGGAAGCAGGAGGGTGGTGAGGCGTGTGCGGTCCCTGCAGGGGAGGGGAAGGCGCTGTGGGACCGGGCTCGCAACGCTGACATACTGGGGGTTGAGTTCCCCAACAGCTGCCTTGACTATGCTGCCACGTGGAATATCTCCTACGGCCTCTGGCTCAGGCTCTGTGAGTCTGCACCGCGCTGCACCGCACTGCACCTCCCATGTGCGCCACCCTGCCCCCCAACACCTGCCTCGACTATGCCGCCACGTGGAACATCTCCTACGGCCTTTGGCTCAGGCTCTGTGAGTCACTGCACCGCACTGTATCGGTATCTGGCCTCTCTGGATCTCTCTGAACCACTCTGCTCCTCTCGCCACCACGTGGAACATCTCCTACGGCCTCTGGCTCAGGCTCTGTGAGTCCGCACCGCGCTGCACCTCCACCTCTCGACCTCCCTGAATCTCTTTGAATCACTCTGTGGCTCCCTGCACCTCTTTGGATGGACCTGCCTGAACCTTTCCAGGACCTTTGCGAGTTTGAACATCACGAGTTTCCCGTTCGTGTGCATGTGCTCCCAGCATTCTAGTCCTTTCCTCATTGGCTGGCATACACACACTTCATGCTCCATGCTTCAGCGTCATGTTTCATGTATCATGCTTGCCTCATACTTCACCATGCGTCACTGCTTCACTGCTCCACTGCTTCACTGCTCCACTGCTTCACTGCTCCACTGCTTCACTGCTCCACTGCTTCACTGCTCCACTGCTTCACTGCTCCACTGCTTCACTGCTCCACTGCTTCACTGCTCCACTGCTTCACTGCGTCACTGCTTCATTGCTTCATTGCATCATGCGTCGTGTGTGTCCGAGGGGGTCCGCTGCTCCCTCGTGACTGCCTGTCATCCGTCCACCGCTGGTCACCTGCGCCCCACACAGACGTGTACATACAACCGCATGGTGCCGCCCGGCAGGAAGTCACCTTTGAGAATTCTCAAAAAGTGATTCTTATCCCCCACCCCTGGTTACCCCTGGTCACCCCTGGTCACCCCTGGTCACCTGCGCCCCATCCACCACACAGATGTGTACAACCGCATGGTGCCGCCCGGCAGGAGGCCCACCTACTTCCACATGCTCGCCACCATCTTCGTCAGCGCTGCCTCCCATGTCAGTCACATGCTCCCTTCCCTCCGCTCTGCGTGTGCCCTCTCACATGCTCCCTTCCCTCCGCTCCGCGCTTGCCCTCTCACATGCTCGCCACCATCTTCGTCAGCGCTGCCTCCCATGTGCGTGCTTCCTTTCCCCGTTCCATGCCTCTCTCTCCCATGTGCGTTCTCCCTTTCCCCGTTCCATGCCTCTCTCTCCCATGTGCGTTCTCCCTTTCCCTGTTCCATGCCTCTCTCTCCCATGTGCGTTCTTCCTTTCCCCGTTCCATGCCTCTCTCTCCCATGTGCGTTCTTCCTTTCCCCGTTCCATGCCTCTCTCTCCCATGTGCGTTCTTCCTTTCCCCGTTCCATGCCTCTCTCTCCCATGTGCGTTCTTCCTTTCCCCGTTCCATGCCTCTCTCTCCCATGTGCGTTCTTCCTTTCCCCGTTCCATGCCTCTCTCTCCCATGTGCGTTCTTCCTTTCCCCGTTCCATGCCTCTCTCTCCCATGTGCGTTCTTCCTTTCCCCGTTCCATGCCTCTCTCTCCCATGTGCGTTCTTCCTTTCCCCGTTCCATGCCTCTCTCTCCCATGTGCGTTCTTCCTTTCCCCGTTCCATGCCTCTCTCTCCCATGTGCGTTCTTCCTTTCCCCGTTCCATGCCTCTCTCTCCCATGTGCGTTCTTCCTTTCCCCGTTCCATGCCTCTCTCTCCCATGTGCGTTCTTCCTTTCCCCGTTCCATGCCTCTCTCTCCCATGTGCGTTCTTCCTTTCCCCGTTCCATGCCTCTCTCTCCCATGTGCGTTCTTCCTTTCCCCGTTCCATGCCTCTCTCTCCCATGTGCGTTCTTCCTTTCCCCGTTCCATGCCTCTCTCTCCCATGTGCGTTCTTCCTTTCCCCGTTCCATGCCTCTCTCTCTCCCATGTGCGTTCTTCCTTTCCCCGTTCCATGCCTCTCTCTCCCATGTGCGTTCTTCCTTTCCCCGTTCCATGCCTCTCTCTCCCATGTGCGTTCTTCCTTTCCCCGTTCCATGCCTCTCTCTCCCATGTGCGTTCTTCCTTTCCCCGTTCCATGCCTCTCTCTCCCATGTGCGTTCTTCCTTTCCCCGTTCCATGCCTCTCTCTCCCATGTGCGTTCTTCCTTTCCCCGTTCCATGCCTCTCTCTCCCATGTGCGTTCTTCCTTTCCCCGTTCCATGCCTCTCTCTCCCATGTGCGTTCTTCCTTTCCCCGTTCCATGCCTCTCTCTCCCATGTGCGTTCTTCCTTTCCCCGTTCCATGCCTCTCTCTCCCATGTGCGTTCTTCCTTTCCCCGTTCCATGCCTCTCTCTCCCATGTGCGTTCTTCCTTTCCCCGTTCCATGCCTCTCTCTCCCATGTGCGTTCTTCCTTTCCCCGTTCCATGCCTCTCTCTCCCATGTGCGTTCTTCCTTTCCCCGTTCCATGTGCTTACTGCCTCCCATGTCCGTTCTCCTTACCCCTTTTCATGCTTTTATCTCCCATGTGCATCGTCCCTACCACCCATGTTTCTGCCTCCCATGTGTGTCACCTCAACCCCTACCCCATCACTTTCTTCCTCCCATGTGCCTCACCCGTATGCTTCTCTCTCCCACTTGCGTCACCCCTACCTCCCACTTTTGCGTCACCCCTACTAGACATGGGCAAAGAGTCAAGTTTCTAAACTCGACTCGATCGGGGGACTCGGTACTGGTCGAGTGTCGAGTGTGATTACCCTTTGAAAAAACTCGACCGGGCCGAGTCGAGTTTTACCCGCCGAGTTTTCAAAAACTCGGTCTAGGCTCGGCCCTCAAGGCGAGTTTTTTCTAGGCTCGACGCGTTTTTTTGACTCGACGAGTTTACGAAAAACTCGTCGCGACATTGGGGTGGCATACAAATTTCGAAATTTGAAATCTGGCGGGTCCATTTTCAGATCGCGATTTCAGTTAGACCCCTTCCCCAACAAAGTCATCAGTAGTTCCCAGTGCCTAACCAGCCAAACGCACGGCTGTTTTTTCTTCTTAAACTTACGATCGTCATACGGGCAACGTAGTTCTAGGTTCACGCATAGTTAGTGACGCGATTTATTGTATGGCTGGTTTCGATTAGGGTTTGAGGAGGAGAAACCGCTACTATTTATTAATTTAACGGGCGACCTACAGATTTAGCATGGCGAAGTTTAAGCAGCTTACAAGTAAGAACCCCAAGGGCGGAAAAGGGGGGGTGGGAGGAACCCACCGTGGCGATCATGCGAGAGGGGTGGAGGAGGAGGACCAGGTGGAGACTGCTACTGGGCGTCGCAGGCTTCGTGCTATTGCTTCGTGATATACAACAAAAAACCATGCACAGCTGGAAGCCTCACTTCCAGCTTTTATATGATGTATCCCCTCCCCCCCCTCCCCCCGAGTCGAGTTTTACTAGGCCTCGACCGAGTGTATGAAATGCCCCGGTCGAGTTTCTTAAAACTCGCCCTTAAACAGCCGAGTTTCGAGTCCAGAACCTTGGCAAAAAAACTCGACCGGGTTTCACCCGACTCGAACTCGATCTCGGTCGAGTTTTGGCCCAGACCGAGTAGAGTAAAACTCGACTCGGTACATTGCACATGTCTAACCCCTACCCCCCTTCTCTCTCCCACGTACGTCCCTATCCCCTAATGTGCATGTCCCCTTGCCATCTCGCACGAGCGTTATCTCTGCGTCACTCTCTCCTGCCCCCATTCACGTCACCCCACCTCACTCTCATGCCAGCAGCACATATTGCCCCATTCCATCAGGGCAGGCTTCTCATTCTTTCATTGCAGAGGACCTCCTACCCTATGCACGCAGAGCCATTTGCACACACGCAGAGCCATATGCACACACACAGAGCCATATGCACACACACAGAGCCATATGCACACACACAGAGCCATATGCACACACGCAGAGCCATATGCACGCAGAGCCATGCATGCTTTGTTGTTTTCACTTGTGCTCTCTATCTCAGATTATTTGTTTATCTCAAAGACTGTGTCCGCCACTCCATAGTCTCCCAACCGTTTGCATTTTTTCCAATCCCCCACTCTGTGTTACCTGCAGGGCTTGAATTGGGGTGACTTCATCGCCTTTGCCCATTGGCCGCTTGCTGTTGCCAGCTCTAAAGGTGTGTACCCACCCCAAACTTTTTCTTTTTACCTCTTTTTTTTTTCAATGAAACTTGAGTGTTGCAACTTGAGTGTCGCAATCTGGTGCACTTGTGAGAACCTTTTTTTCCATCCCATTTCCTTTCCTACTTCCAAGCATGATTTCTGTACCCATCCGATTCTACTGTGCATTCCCGTTCCCCTTGCCATATCCGTTTCCCATTCCCATTCGCACTACCACTCACACCACCACTCCATACCCAAATCTCGTACCCATATCCCATTCCCTTTTCTCCACCATGGGATCATAACCCGTTGCTCGGGCTCACCAGTTCCTGCAAACTTGCGCTCAAATGCGTCCCTCTCAACCTATCCCTGCTCACCTTCCCTTCATTCCTCTTCCCTCTCGTGCAGCCATCTTCCAGCTCACAGCTGGAATTCCCAAGGGCACCACCACCCACCGCATGGTGGCGCTTCTTCACACCCTCTATTGCATCTTCGTCACCACCTGCATGGCCAGCCCCTTTGCCGTAAGTGTTCATATTTTACTTTTTCTTCTTCTTCTTTCGTTCTTCTTTCTTTTTCATGGACTCAACCCTAATCTTGGTGCTGGGGTTGTAAATTCCAGTCCGAGCTTCTATGCCTCTCTGTTGGCCCACCCTTTTATGCGCATTGCCGCTCTCTTCTGACTGTGTTTGCTATGGCTTTTCATGGTGCAGGTGATAACACTGTCGGGTGCATACTCAGCGTATAGCGGCATGTACTATTGTGGTACTGTTATCCCGATTCTCCTGATTCTTCTGCGTAATCGGCCATACGAATTGTCAATACAAAGTACCCCAATACTAAAGAGAACTCTAATACTAATGAGAAACACCACATGACCCCGCACAGATTTGTTCGAGTCAAACAGGACGGTATGCCACATTAACCATGTCAGTGAGGCTTAAGCATCTTGGTGGCCAGTTCCCCTCTCTATATCCCCACTGTATGTGTTTACTGTATCACCCGAATATAATACCTAGACCTGCACCCGAGTCTTTACATAAGGACATGTTACCGTACTTGATGGTGGGGTGGGGGGTCTTGCTGTACCGTATCATATGGCAATACTTGGACGCGGACCCGACGTTTTTTCCGCTGAAATGTGAGGCCCTGAGTTATACTAACATAACCAGACGATGACGGTATTCCAACGATTGGATCCCATGCCTGTTTGTGGACAAAGTGAGCAGAGCCAGAGGAAATGAGGGCTAATTTGGGTGAGGGTTATCGCAATGCTTGGGTTATTTAGGCTTGGGCTCCAATAACATGGAAGAATCATGAGGTATTATTTGAGCTTTGATAATGGAAAGCAAACACGCTTCATGAAAATCAATGTTACCGTCATCGCCCGGATATAAGACATATATGTCTTATCTCGTACACGGGCAAAAATGCTTGAGTTATCTTGTAAACGGGATGGTTTAGGGTGTCTTATAAATCTTATAAATGGACAAAGAACCGTTTAGAAGGCACCCCCTCGCTATACATTTGCCCCTAACTCCTACACTTTCTTAACCCGTACACACAAATAGGTGTCTTATAATGAGGCTAGCCTGTTTATAAGAGACACCCGTATAATAGACAACCCCTGTCTACTATTCAACACTGTCTTATATCCGGGTGATGACGGTATGGTATGTCAAGAAGGTTTGAAGCAAAACCTTGTTATCATATAGCGAGTGGCTAATTACAGTGAGACTGGTTGACTGGCCATCTTATAATAGTATCTCCACTTCTCCATCTTCCTCCTCCTGCTCCTCCTCGTCTGTCTCCACCTCTCCCTCTTCCTTCTCCTCCTCTTGCTCTCCCTCCTTTGTCTCCACTTATCCCATTTCTTTCTCCTCCTCCACTAAGCTCTCCTCCACTCTCATCTGACCAGCCCACGTTCACATTTCCTCCACATGGCTCCTCCCCTTCCACCCCAGCATGTTTCTCATCATCCTTTCCCCCCTCTACCACATCTTCTCCGTCGCCATTCCGCTTGTTCCGTTCCTCCTCTCCCCCTACAGATCGCCCCCGTGTCTCACCGCATACATCCTTCTCAGCCTCCCCCTCATCGTCTGACAGAGTGATCACCTCAGCACCAAGGGGAATGCCTGCAAACGGTCTCACAGATCCCCTCCTCTTTCTCCCCATACCACCATAGGAAGACGGGGCAGCAGCAGCTGGAAAAGGAGATGGGGCAGCAGCAGGACAGGGAGATGGGGAAGCAGCAGGAGTGACAGAGAGGGAAGACGGGCCAGCAGCAGGTGTGGCAGGCGATGGGGCAGCAGCTGGAGAGGGAGATGAGGCAGCAGCTGGAGAGGGAGATGAGGCAGCACCAGGAGTGGCAGACATGAAGGATGGGCCTGCAGAAGGTGTGGCAGGCGGGACAACATCAGAAGGTGATGCACGAATGAGCAGCGGAGGGCATACATATCTGCGTGCCCGACTGGTTGTGCACTTGCACGGTTGATGCCATTCCTCTTCCGCCAATTCCTCCTCTCTTAAATTCCCTGCCCTCCCTTCCCTTCCTCTATCTTCCTCCACCCAATTCCGCTTGCCCTTCCTCTCAACCTGCTGCAACCTCTCCTGCTTTCAAGAAGCAGCATCGGCGGCAGCAGCAGCGTCAGCGGCAGCAGCATTGGCGGCAGCAGCAGCGGCAGCGGCGGCAGCAGCAGCGTCGGCGGCAGCAACAGCGTCGGCTGCAGCAGCAGTGTCGGCGGCAGCAGCAGCATTGGCGGAGGCAGCAGCATTGGCGGAGGCAGCAGCATCAGCGGCAGCAGCAGCAGCTTCGGCAGCAGCAGCAGCATCGGCAGCGGCAGCAGCATCAGCGGCAGCAGCAGCAGCATCGGCGGCGGCAGCAGCATTGGCGGCAGCAGCAGCATCGGTGGCAGCAGCAGCCTCAGCGGCGGCAGCAGCATCAGCGGCGGCAGCGGCAGTAGCGGCAGCAGCAGCAGCATCGGCGGCAGCAGCAGCACCGGCGTCAGCAGCAGCATCGGCGGCGGCAGCAGCGTCGGCGGCAGCAGCAGCCTCGGCGGCGGCAGCAGCATCGGCGGCGGCAGCAGTTTTGGCGGCGGCAGCAGCGTCGGCGGCAGCAGCAGCATCGGCGGCAGCAGCAGCGTCGGCGGCAGCAGCATCGGCGGCGGTAGCAGCATCGGCGGCGGAAGCACCATCGGCGGCGGCAGCAGCATCGGCGGCGGCAGCAGCATCGGCGGCAGCAGAAGCAGCTTCGGCGGCGGCAGCAGCATCGGCAGCGGCAGCAGCATCAATGGCAGCAGCAGCAGCTTTGGCAGCGGCAGCAGCAGCGTCGGCGGCAGCAGCATCGGCGGCAGCAGCAGCGGCAGCGGCGGCAGCAGCAGCGTCGGCGGCAGCAACAGCGTCGGCTGCAGCAGCAGCGTCGGCGGCAGCAGCAGCATTGGCGGAGGCAGCAGCATCAGCGGCGGCAGCAGCAGCTTCGGCAGCAGCAGCAGGATCGGCAGCGGCAGCAGCATCAGCGGCAGCAGCAGCAGCATCGGCGGCGGCGGCAGCATTGGCGGCGGCAGCAGGATCGGTGGCAGCAGCAGCGGCAGCGGCGGCAGCAGCAGCAGCAGCAGCAGCAGCAGTAGCAGCGGCAGCAGCAGCATCGGCGGCAGCAGCAGCGTCGGCGGCAGCAGCAGCCTCGGCGGCAGCAGCAGCATCGGCGGCGGCAGCAGCATCGGCAGCGGCAGCAGCATCAGCGGCAGCAGCAGCAGCTTCGGCGGCGGCAGCAGTTTCGGCGGCAGCAGCAGCTTTGGCGGCGGCAGCAGCATCGGCGGCGGCAGCAGCATCAGCGGCGGCAGCAGTATCAGCGGCAGCAGCAGCAGCATCGGCAGCAGTATCAGCGGCAGCAGCAGCAGCATCGGCAGCAGCAGCAGCGTCGGCGGCGGCAGCAGCGTCGGCGGCGGCAGCAGCGTCGGCGGCGGCAGCAGCGTCTGCGGAAGCAGCAGCATCGGCGGCAGCAGCAGCGTCGGCTGCAGCAGCGCCGGCGGCAGCAGCAGCGTCGGCTGCGGCAGCAGCCTCGGCGGCGGCAGCAGCGTCGGCTGCGGCAGCAGCGGCGGCGGCAGCAGCGGCGGCGGCGGCAGCCTCGGCGGCGGCAGCAGCATCGGCGGCGGCAGCAGCATCGGCGGCGGCAGCAGCATCGGGGGCGGCAGCAGCATCGGCGGCGGCAGCAGCATCGGCGGCGGCAGCAGCATCGGCGGCGGCAGCATCGGTGGCGGCGACAGCAGCATCTGCGGCGGCGGCAGCAGCAGCGGCGGCAGCAGCAGCAGTAGCTTTGGCAGCAGCGTCAGCTGCAGCAGCAGCGTCGTCGGCGGCAGCAGCATCGGCAGCGGCAGCAGCATCGGCGGAGGCAGCAGCTTTGGCGGCGGCAGCAGCGTCGGCGGCGGCAGCAGCATCGGCGACGGCAGCAGCATCGGCGGCGGCAGCAGCAGCATCGACGGCAGCAGCAGCATCGGCGGCAGCAGCAGCTTTGGCGTCGGCAGCAGCATCGGCGGCGGCAGCAGTATCAGCAGCAGCAGCAGCAGCAGCATCGGCAGCAGCAGCAACGTCGGCGGCAGCAGCAACGTCGGCGGCGGCAGCAGCGTCGGCGGCGGCAGCAGCGTCGGCGGCGGCAGCAGCGTCGGCGGCGGCAGCAGCGTCGGCGGAAGCAGCAGCGCCGGCGGCAGCAGCAGCGTCGGCGCCAGCAGAAGCATCGGCAGCGGCGGCAGCATCGGCGGCGGCAGCAGCATCGGTGGCGGCAGCAGCATCGGCGGCGGCATCGGTGGCGGTGGCAGCAGCATCGGCGGCGGCGACAGCAGCATCAGCGGCGGCGGCAGCAGCATCGGCAGCAGCTGCAGCACCGGCAGCAGCAGCAGCGTCGGCGGCAGCAGCATCATCGGCGGCAGCAGCAGCTTCAGCGGCAGCAGCAGCGTCAGCGCTAGCAGCGGCGTCAGCGGCAGCAGCAGCGGCAGTGGCAGCGGCAGCAGCAGCGTCAGCAGCAGCAGCGGAAGTGGCAGCGGGAGCACCGGGGGCAGCAGCAGCAGCGGCAGCAGTGGCGGCGGCAGCAGCAGGGGCTGCAGCTGCGAGTCTGGAGGCATCAGCAGTTGGGTCTGAATCAACAAAACTGGTAGCAGAAGGGGCAGGAACTGCAGGACAAGAAGAAAGGGTGTCGGACACACGCTTGTAACGAGTCTTTCGCCTGCGCAGCTGCCATGTCGGTAGATACCATTCCTGGTCCCCTCCTTCCTCAAGTCCTTCCCCAACAGCCCCCCCTTCATCTCCTCCTTCCTCCATTTCATCCCCAACAGCCCCCCCTTGGTCCCCTCCTTCCCCACAGCCTTCTCCTTGTTCCCATCCTTCCCCACTTGCCCTTCCATGCTCCACCCTTCCCTCACTAGCCCCAGCGTTGACATCAGCTGCTATCCCCATTGATCCTAAATCGCCCTCTCTTGTTTCACCACCTACAGATCCCACCCCACACTCCAACTGCATTTCATCATTCCACATCATCTCGATTCCTCCAATTCCTCCCAACTCCATTCCTTCCATCTCCATACACAGCTCCTGCGTAACTCTGTCCCTTATACCACCATCGCTCATCCCATGTGCAGCTCCCCCAATATCAAGAGCAAAACCACCAATGGCACCACCAGAAGCAGCATCAACCCCATCAGCAGCAGCAACCCTACCAGCAGCATCAAGGGAAGCAACAGTGCCATCATCACCAGAATCAGCCCTGGCATGGAAAGCAAAAGCACTAGCGAACCAAGCAGCAGTATCACCAGCACCCACAGCAGCATCACCAACACTCCGCCCCACACCACCATCACCACTCCTGCCCACACCACCATCACCACTACTGCCCACACCACCATCACCACTCCTGCCCACACCACCATCACCACTACTGCCCACACCACCATCACCACTACTGCCCACACCACCATCACCACTACTGCCCACACCACCATCACCACTCCTGCCCACACCACCATCACCACTCCTGCCCACACCACCATCACCACTCCTGCCCACACCACCATCACCACTACTGCCCACATCACCATCAGAGACACCACCGGCAGCACCACCAGAAGCGCCAGGAGCAGCATCACTCTGATTACCATCGCCACCATCACCAGCCGCACCAGCGAACCCAGCAGCAGCATCACCAGCACCCACAGCAGCATCACCACCACTCCTGTCCACAGCACCACCAGAAGCACCAGGAGCAGCATCACTCTGATTATCATCCCCACCATCACCATCCGCACCAGTGCCATCAGTAGCACCACCAGTCCCGTCCCCACCACCACCACCACCTCCACCATCTCCATCCCCCATTGCAGCAGCCAGCAGCGGACCTTGCCAGGAGAAAGACGCATTGGCTCTCCAGTCTCCCCAGCCCCAGCCCCTCATTACCATCTCCTCGCCACACACAAGAATCTGCTGCCACCTTGCTCCCTCTATCGGATACTTCTTCTCAGCAGATGCGACCAGGCTGTCCAGAAGAACACTAATCGGCTGAATCGGGTTCACTCTCACGAAGAGAGACGACAGGGAGCAAGACACAACGGGCCATGACTCAACGTTGGCAGAAGGAAGGGCAGGTGAGGACGGGGAAGTCAAAGGGGCAGTGATGGGTGTGGCGACGTCGGGAGGAAAGAGACGCACGGAGAAGGTGCAGCTGCATCGGAGCTTCCCACCCCGCCTCCAGTGCTCGCAATGCTCTACGGACTCCACCCTCGCATCGTAGTAGGCCTGGGAAGGGGAAGGCAGAAACAAAGATTCACATGCTTAAGTTACACTATCTATCATTTCCATCTGTCTACGAATACATGAAGAAGAGGAAGAAGGGAGGATGAAGAGGAAGAAGGGAGGATGATGTGTTGGAGGACGAGGCATGAGTATAAAGGATGCAAAAATGACGGCAGCGGCCGGATGAGAGAGCGCAAGTGATGTATAGGAGGATTACTATGAGTAGCAAGGATGCAAATATGAGGTTAGTGGGTGGGTGAGTGGGCAGGTGAAGGAAGGACAAATCCGGTCCTTTGTGTGGCAATTGCGTGAAACTCAGCTCAGGTATCGTTATTGATAATGATATCGGTAAACGTTATTTACACTTCATCACCCAACCTCAGCCCTGCCCACGAAAGCTTTTATCCTTGCCCAGACTCCACTGTTGCACGACCGATCGTTTCTCTGCCGGTTCTGGTTCTGCTAGATTTGAACCGAATCTCGTTCCGTTCTTGCCCATGCCTACTCGTGACAACAGTCCATCTTACGCCCATCAACCATTTCATAGACATAGCCTTCGTACAAGCAATACACAAAAGGACGGAAATGATACAAAATAAGCCCCAGCCCCCCCCTCCCTCCCTCCCCCCCCCCCCACGCTCCCCACCTCCTCACCTTCCCTATCACCGACTCGTCTCCTTCAGGGTGGTTGACGAAAGCCACCACAAGCATGCCTGCCCG